TCAGTATGGCCATGTTACTATTTATATTATAGTTAAGTTCATTTGTTACTGTTCATATTCCATTTTCGCTTCCCCCACCTCCTGGCTGAATTTCAGTATTTATCTTGAGGGTATGTGAAACAATACCTTGGTTCAAAGAGTCAGAGCTATACAAAAAGGTATTTTCAGAGAAGTGTTACCCCCCCATCCCTACTATCCCACCCCCATTTCCCCATTCTTTCTACCCCATTCCCACCTACCCTGTAGATAACCAATCTCTTTAGTTTTTTGCTTATCCTTCCTGTATTTATTTCACACAAGTCAATAGATATATGTATATTTTCTTATGCCTTTCTTGCAAGAATGGCAGCTTACTGTAGATATCATTTTTACTGTGCTTTTTTATTTAACAATATATTCTGGAAATCACTCCATATTAATTCATAAAGATCTACATCGTGTTGTTGTTGTTTTACAACTGCCTAGTACTTCATTGTGCCACATCCTTTATTCAACCATTTTGTGTATAAGCATTTAGGTCATTTCCAGTATTTTCCAATTAGAAACAGTGTGACTATGAATAACCTTACGCATATGTATTTTCATAGAGTTGTGGGTATATCTTTAGGGTAGATTCCTATAGGTGAGATAGCTGAGTCAAAAGTTAAGTGCACAGTAGCTGTGTTAGGTATTGCCAAATTTCCCTCCAGAAGGGTTGTGCCACTTTGTATTCCCACTGACAATATATAACGGTGCCACCTTTCCCACAGCTTCATTAACAGAATGCACTGCCATACTTTTTTGCACGGCCATACTTTTCTTTCCCATTCTTATGGGTAAGAAATGATATCTCAGTTTTGTTTACATTTTAATTTCTTTAATTATGAGTGCATTCAAACATTTTTTTTGCAAATATTTAAGGGTCATTTTTATATCTTTTGTGAACTGTTTTTCATATCTTTTTCACATTTTCTATCAGGTTTATGGTCCCTTGTCCCTCAAATTTTAAGAGTTCTTTATATATTGCCACCTTTATCTGTGGTATATGATGCAAATATTTTCTCCCATTTTGCCAGTTGTCTTTTTACTTTATTGTGTTTTTTACTATGCAAATGTTTATGTGGTCAGATTTGTCAACATTTTCTTTTATTCCTTCCAACTTTTGAGTCACAGAAAATCTTTCCTTATATTTAAAGAGAAATTCATCCATGTTTTCTTCTATTACTAGTATGGTTTTATTTTTTATATTTATATTCCCAGTCCACTTGAAGGCTGTTCTTACATATTGCATGAGATATGGACCTAATTTTATCTTTTCCCAAATGGTTACCCTGTTGTCCCAGCACTGTTCATGAAAATGTCCATCTTTGATCCAGTAATTTTAGATACAACCTTTATTTTATACTAAATGTCCATATGTAGTTGGGTCGATTTGTGGGAATAGAAAATTCCATTCCACTGGTCTTTTTGTCCATACCGTTTTAATTTCAGAGGCATTACAGTATGTTTTAATACCTAGCAGGGCTAGACTCCCTCCATAATTTGTTGTCTTTCAGTGTTTCCTTGGCTATTCTTGCATGTTTGTTTTTCCATATAAACTTTAGTATCAACTTGTCTAGTTCCATTAAAAAGCATGTTGGTGCTTTTATTGGGTTTGAATCAAATTTGTAAATTAACTTAGGAAGAACTGAGATCTTTACAATGTTGAGTCATTCTATCCAAGGTCACACAATGTCTTTTCATTTGTTCAAATCTATTTCTATGTCTTTTCAAAAGCATTTAAAATTTTTCTTTATTTAGGTTTTACATACTTACTGTTAAGTTTTTTTCTAAATATTTCTTATTTGTTGCTACTGTAAGTGGAGTTTCTCTACCATAATGTCTTCTAACTGGTTATTATTTGTGCATATGAAGGCTATTAATTTTTGTATGGTAATTTTATATCCTGCTACCTTTAATGTTTGAGTTAGCTTTGTTATTGATTCTCTAGACTTTCCCAGGTATACTATTAAAGTTATGAAATAGAGAAAAACTTTCTACCTTGTTGCCATTCTTACACTTACTGTTTTCTCTTGTCTAACTGCATTAGCTAATATCTCTAGAAAAATTATGAATAGTAATAGAGATAGTGGGCAACCTTACCTGGTTCCTGATCTTAGCAGAAATGCCTCTAGTATTTCTCCATTAAATAAGACAATGGCTTTAGTTCTAAGGTATAAAAAGTTTATCATGTTAAGAAAATATCCCACAATTTCTATTTTCTTGAGGGTTTGATCATGAATACGTGTTGAATCCACCCCTTATTTGGAAAACTGATAAATAAAGGGAAAGAATCTAGTATTTATCCTGCCTTTTCTATGTAATCTATACATGAAGGTAACAAAATATGAGGTTGGAAAAGTTTCTCTTTATAGAATTAGTCCAGCTAATAAACAAAGAAGAAATTATGGAATAAGAACATCACTATTTGCGACCCCTAATGAAATAGTCAGTGTAGTCGAAGATGCTGCCATCATGAAAAGAGAGACACCAGGTATTACATACCTCCTGATGAAAGTATACCTCACTATTTATGAAGTAGTCTTGCTATTTATATATTTTAGAGACGGAGAAAGAAAGAGACAGAGAAAAAGAAAGAGAACCTGGATGTGATCAAGCCTCTAGCTCTAAGCACCAATGTACAAGAAATACAAGAGACAGAGGAAGATGTCAAACACCACCACAGGGATGCAGTTAGTAAAATACAGTCATGGGAAACTCTATTGAAAAAATAAATTGATTTCTTCAACCAAAAACATCAAGGGAGGGCTTCCCTTGTGGCGCAGTGGTCGAGAGTCCGCCTGCCGAGGCAGGGGACACGGGTTCGTGCCCCGGTCCGGGAAGATCCCACATGCCGCGGAGCGGCTGGGCCCGTGAGCCATGGCCGCTAAGCCTGCGCGTCCAGAGCCTGTGCTCCACAATGGGAGAGGCCACAACAGTGAGAGGCCCACGTAACGCAAAAAAAAAAAGAAAAAAAAAGAAAAAAAAAGAAATCAAGGAAAAAAAGATCAAAATAGAAGGAAACCCTATATATTAAGAAACTTTAAAGACATATCAACTAATTGCAATGTATGAGTCTTATTTGAATCCCAATTCAAATAAATTGTAAATAAAAATGTTTTAAAACAATTTATGATTATTAACACAATGTTTAAGACAATTGAGGCAATAGGAATGTTGACTGGATGTTTCATTATATTAAGGAATCATTGATTTTTTAAAATATTATTGTTAATATTTTGGTTATTTTTGTTAATAAGTCAGTCCTTATCTTTTTTTTTCAACTTGAAAATAAATATATTCACAATCTGTAAAACATAAATGCTTATTTTTTTAGACACATATGGTATTTACAGGTGAAACGATATTATGACTAGGACTATAATATCGTGGAGAAAGAGGCGGCAATATTTACAAAACAGGATTGGACATGTATTGATCATTGTTGAAGCTAGTGATGGGGGTACATCAGTTTCACTATTTTCTCTATCTTTGTATATATTTGAAATTGTCCATAACAAAATGTGGGGTTTTTTAAATTCTGCATCTATTATACTGAACATTTAGACCAAGTGAGATGACACACTCCAGAATGTGGTGTAAAGAGCCAAGCACATCCCAACCGTAAGCAGTGGGCACCATTGTCTATCAATGAACCCTTGAGGGCTAACGGCCAGCAAGGCAGCCTCTGGCCATCACCTCCTGCACCTCTCTCCACAGGCACGAAGAGTACTCAAGGTCCCTGTAGCACAAGGGTCCCAAGGGTTCTCGGGGCAAAAGTCAAGAAGGAGGTCCTGATGGATATTTTCCCCAGGAGTCCAGTGATGAGAACCCTGCCTTCCTCTCCAGTCCTCAAAGGACTCCCAGCTCCTTGTATTTCTCCCTCCCATGCGGGAAGCCCCACACTCACATCATTCTCCGAGGTCCCACAGAGGATGCAGGATTTGCACTCTATGCACTGCCACTTGTAGGTCTTGACAGCCTCAGTCATGTTCAGAGTGAACTGCAGGCAGGTGGGGTGACCTGGAGGAAGCAGAAATGGCAGCATTAGGGCCAGAGGGTCTGACCTGTCACCCCTCAATGCCACAACCTCATGGCCAACTTGGAGGGAGGGTGGGGTAGCACGGGTTGTGGAGTAAAGTGGGAGCCTGGCTGGAGCCCTACCCACCATCCTCACCACCACCTACAGTTACATCAGATCAACGCCCAAAGAGAGAAATAGGTATTAAGGCTTTTGCTGGGGAGAGATGTCATCCAAGTCCTCTTGCCCTAAGAGCCACGTTCCCCCAGAGATGTAACCAGTGGATGAGGAGAGAAAGTGGTGATCAGAGAGAAAGAGAAAGGAAATCGCACAGCACAAGGTGACACCGTGAGAGTCAGCAGCATTACCTCCCCAGCATCAATTGTGGTGGGAGGTAACACATATGGGCTATTTGCAGCTGAGCCTTCTGACCTGAAGAGCTCTGCACACTGCCTTAGGGCACCGGGTAGGAGATCAGAGGGAACATGGGAGGCTCCCAGAGACAGAGCTCGGGGGCACTGGGAGGCACTACACTGCTACCTAAGGTGTCCATGCCCACGCCCAGGGGACAAGCAGAAGTCGACGCCCTGCACAGTAACAGGCCCTATGGAGGGAAGCAGCCTGGCAGGGAGGGCGATGAAGTGGAGCACCACTGCAAGGGCGCACAACAGCCAGGTCTATCCTGAAAGGACTCGTCACTGGCTCTAACTCTTCTTTCCATCCTATGTATCGTGTTAGCCAAGCCAATAATAAGAGCAGGGAGGGACATTAATGTGACCTTAGAGGACCCAGCCCCAGCAGACCTACACCAGAGGCTTGGCCTGCACAGCCACCGCCCACCCAAAAGAGAGACACCAGCAGCAGGAGGACAACTGTAAGCCACAGAATGTGAAGACCTTGACCTCCTATTTGGCAGGGAAGGGAAACTTGGATGATGACCCCCAGTTTCCCAGGGCTGTGAATCAGACAGGGATCTGCCCAGACACCCCAGTCAAAGCCCTTTACTAACTCTGTCACAAAAGAATTGACAGTTTTGCCGATTGCTAGGGGTTCACCCTTCTCCCAATTCTGCCAAATCCACCATATAGTGCATGTGTCGCCTCTTTCACGTGAGGGATTGTGAGCTTCTAAAGAAGGATAGTATAGACGGGGCACCAATTAGGGGCAACCAACACAGTGTCCAGCCCAGTGTCCCCCACAGACAGTCAAGATCCCACGCGGTACCACCACTCCTTGGCAAAGCCACATCCCAGCAGGAAGCCCCCATTTCTTCTTTTCCAAACCCTCACAGAGTTCTATCATGGTCCTTTGGGGGAAATACTGTCTATTCAGTCACTACAAGGACCCTTCAGATCTGGGCCGCCACCAATGCAAACCACACTGAGTTATCTCTGAGAGTGAGAGTGGGGACAGAATGACTCATGGTGAGGGGTGTTGGGGACACCTAGCAAATAGCAGGTGGGAGCATTGAGGAGAGGACTGATCTAAAAGCATTTCTAGGACTTCTCAGGAGCCAGGCAACTTAGAAACCCTCACAGCTCTGAATAACCCTCTCAAAGTGACACCATGCCAGTGACCCTGGGGAGAGCAAAGCCTTACGTTAAAAGCCTGGATGAACATCCAGCTGATATTCCTGACAGCATCTCAAAGATCTGTCTAAGAAGAACACTAGCCAGGGTTGTTCCCTATTCTGATCTCTCGCACAGAACACTGGGATGGGAATAGAAGAGAAAATACCAGTTTGAGATTCTGGGTGGTCTGGGCCATAGATGCCCAGGTTCTCAGATAGGACACCTGGGAAGGTTGAAGATGAATTCGTGGAGTATATACCTAGAACGGCAGGTTGATGTAGCCCTGTTCCACGGCCTTAGGGCACAACCAGCCACAACCAGCCAGCTTACAGTAATTGTTCATGAACTAGGGTTTATTGAACATCTGCTAGGCCAGCCATGGCACTAGACAGAAGAGATACAGTGGTGGGCAAGACCCCCACCCCCAAATCCCTCTAGTCTGGTCAGAGAGAACTCAAATTAATAAACTACACACATACCTATTTACCTATAATTGTGTAAGTACTGTAAAGAAAAAACATAATTGGCAATGAAAAATCACAGGAGAATCAAATCTAGTCTGAGATGTCAAGGAAACCTTCCCTGAGAACGATCTTTAAGCTGAGACCTGGCAGATGAGGGGGAGTTAGCTGAGTGGGCGACGGAGAGGATTCCACGCGAGGAGAACAGCACGTGGAGAGGCTCTGAGCAGTGGAGGAGCTTTGGCAAATTGAACGGAAGGGAAAGGCCAGTAGGCAGAGGCTTGCCGAGCAAAAGGAGGAGGGCAAGAAGTGCCCGGAGAGGTAGCTACAGCCAAGTTACATGGGCACTTGTGGCCCTCATTTAAGGATCTGGGGCTTTAAAATCATTAAAGCATTTTAAGCAAGGCAGTGACTGAATTGCCTTGTGTTTTTAAAGGAGCATTCCTTCAGCGCGAGGGATCTTTGGGTGGTGAAGCATTTCTGAACCTTGATTGCAGTGAGTTACGTATTGGTCAGATTGCATAGAACTATACACATACATGCATAAACACACATGTGTGTGAATGTAAAACCAATAACATATGGATAAGGTCTGTGATTGCATCGTGTCAGTTGCCTGGTTCTGATAGTGTACTATGGTTACGGAAGATGTTACATTGGGGGAAACTGGGTGAAGAGTGCATGGCACCTCTCAGTAATATATTTTGTAACTTTCTATGAAGCTATAATTATTTCAATATAAAAAGTTGAAAAGGTCTTTTTAAATAAGGAAAACACAAAGAAAAATTTAAGTCATCAAAAAGGAGGGAAGGAAAGGGAGGAAGGGAGGGAGGGAAGAGGGAAAGGAAAGGAAAGGAAAGGAAGGAGCTGCTGTCTAAGGAGAGAACTGGGGGGAGGGGGGCAAAGGGAATGTAGAGATGTAAGAATTGTTGCCGGGAGACTAGTTTGGAGGTGGATGCTGCTGTTAGGAGAGAGACAAGGATGGTGGAGGTGGAGATTGGAGAAATATTAAAGAAATCATTGACAGGACTTGACCATTATCTGAGCATTGGGAGTGTGGGAAAGAGATGATGAGAAATAGTCTCAAGATTCCGACCTAAGAAACAAGGTGGGTTGCAGTGAAACTTACTCAAATGAGGAACTACAGAAAGCATATAGGGACCAAATGGGGGAGGGGGAGGAGTACTCTGTTTTGAGCATGTTGAATTTGGGAAGTCTGTGAGACTTTGGGTGGAAATGTCAAGCGGATGGTCGAATATAGGGGCTTAGAGCTCAAAAGAAATATGAACTAGACATAAATTTAGGAGCTTTTGCTAAATAGGTGGTCATAGAAACCATGAGAGTTAATGAAATTATCTAGGAAAAGGGAAAAAAGAGAAAGGAAGAGGAAAGAAGAGAGAAAAAAGTCTAGGACTGAGCTTTGAGTAACTCAACTCTTTGAAGATCAAAAGAAAGGACCAACAGAGGAAACTGGAAGGATGGCTGGAGAGAGGTAAGACACAAATCGTGCAAGTACAGGTCACAGTGGCCCAGAGAAGAGCTTTCAAGAAGGAGAGGGTGGTCAGCTGTGTTGACTGCCAAAGGTTCATGAGTTTGTCATTGCTCAATAAGGACCCTGAATGAGGGCGTGCTGACAGAGCTGAGCAGAAGTTGCCCTACTAATAATAATAACCTCAGCAGTGTCACCTTCCCCGGGAATGAAGGTCAGCATATTCCAGAGCGTGACATGTAACTTCACAGCCAGCTGTGCCTCTGGATGCCTCCGGGTGTGTGTGGGGGGGTGGGGGGGTGCGTGCTTCATGAAGCCAACAACACTCCCCAAATATTTACTGAGAGCCAACTCTCAGTACAAGACCTCTCGACCACTGTGCTGAGCTCTGAAGACATTTTCTGGGATAGCTTTGGACCAGTGAACAGTAGCAAGTGGGCTTGAGAAAATCCTGTTGGAAGTGTCTCCAAAAATCCCATGGGCTTTCTCTGTGTTCCTGTTTTGAGAAAGTCACCAGCCTCCCCCCAAAGACCTCCACACCCAAAGGAAGGGAACGAAGCTCACACAGCCTCCACCCCAGGTAAAATGTAGGACTAAGGTTAGCCTCAGCTCTGGCTACAGAGCTCCTTCAGTTCAGAATGCAGACTCAGGTGGGAGAGGAAAGGAGGGGATGCAACTTCTCAGCTGTGGAGGGTGAGACACAAAGAGTTAAGTCACCCAAAACTATGCCCAAACTTTCTGTGCCACCAGAACAGGTTGCCTGTCTGCTGCCTTTCTCTACAAGCTGGAAAAGTCATTTCCCAGATAAAACTATAGGGATAAGACTTCTTATCTACCATGGAAATGACTGGAATAAAGCATACTGTTGGACAAAAGGAAAAGTTGCTAAGGAAAGTGCTAGAAGCCCATATCTAAGTTTTACTGCTAGAAGCCCAGGGTGGTAGAAAATAAAGAGGCACATTGGCAGTAAAGCAATTTACTTATGGCCACCCACTACTTAAAGATTCCTGTCTTAATCCGTTTTGTAAAATTAACCATCATTCTCTAACGTGCTTGCTTGGAAATCTAGATTTTCCATATATCCAGTTTTCTTAAAGCGAGGAATACCTGCATTGCTATTTAAATAGCCCAATGGAGTGAAGGGGAAACAACACTTCCCGGGTCCCCTGGGTGAGATGATTCAACAGGACAGTTATAAGATTTCAATTACCAAAATGGATTTAGAAAGTGGCGTGGTGTGCATGATTCATCCCAGCCAGATCATTAAAAACCAAGTCCTTCCTGCGTGTTCCTCCAAACTTGTTCTATTAGGAGGTTCAATAAATCTTCTGCCCGTTTGTTCAGTTGGTCCAGTGGCGAACTTGGTGTAAAGAGACATTCTTAATCCAGCCCTAACCCCTTCCAAAACGGACCTCCATCTTCCCTACAAGTTGAAACAGGAAATATATAACCCATGGCCACCATGTGCGGAGACCTAATTT